TTTTTTTTTTTTTTTTTTTTTTTTTTTTTTTGGGCCATCTTGTTCTGCGAACGGCTTCTTGGACTTGGAGGTGAATAACCTACCGCATCACTCCTCAGTCCACAAGAACCCAGTAGGACCAACCATCTCAGGGCCATCCATGTAACGAGAAGTAATGTGATAGCACTTGATCCCAAGTGAAGACCAAGAAACGATATGTGTCGCTGCGTTGAGACTGCAACGCCTCGAGGTAGAGTAAACCCTACCGAGACAGCCCGTGGCAGAAGAAGCTCACAATAACTCATCAACATCCATATCCACACAGCATCCCTCCTCCAGCGTTGTCGTCGGACACACGCTGTACATTATCAGATTTCGACCGTGACCGGTTGCCTTTCAGATCTCCCCAGGACATCATACAAGCATGCTCAAGGATACTTGTCAGCGCAGCCCCATCAGCCCATGGTTTCCCCCCCATCTCCCGATGAATGCATGAGACGCAACTCACGCAGCCCACCAAAAAAAGGGCATAGGAACAGGCCACAGACTACATCGCAACAAAGCGCCATGCCATCTCGGCCGCCACGTTCCTCCTGCGCCTCCCGTAGCCACAAGGCAAGCCACACGGCGCGTAGCCCGCCCGCGCGCCGCCGCCGAGGCCCCACCCGGCCCCAGAGCCCCCCACGACCCCGACCTTTCTTCTTCAGAGTTTGTCCCTCCTATCGGCGCCTCCCCTTCCGCTCCGGCCTGGGGGGGTCTGTCTGCCGCCCTCCCTCCTTCCAGAAAAGCCCAGAGCCCCCATTGACGTGATTCTCGGCAGGACGCGGACGCAGGGGTCTTCCCCCCTCCGGGCCGCTAGACGCATCGACCCTTCTCCTGACCACCATACCTAACGTACCTAGGTACCCAGGCCTCATCCCTATAAGGCGTCGCCGTGGTCTTTAAGTCCTCCGGATTCCTACCCTGTTCGACTTGCCCCGGTAATGCATGTCGAGTCAAGGCCCTGAACGAGAGAGCGTGCCCCACGACGCAGACACACACACACACACACACACCCCGGCGCGGCCTCTCCGTCGACCAGATCCGTCGTCATCTCCCACGCGCTGAACCCCCTTCATTTCCTCCTCACGGCGTCGCGCATCAGGGATTACATGAATCATGGAGAAATCGTTTCATTCTGCCCTAGACGCCCGGAACGCCTTGAATCATCATCCATCACCAAAAAAGTTCACACAAAAACACCCCGTAGTTCCGGCCCCAGCCCCAAACAAGAAATGCAGCCTGCCTCCGTGTGCCTTTAGATCTCCCCATGTCGAGGCCTCGGCACCTGTGCGCCGTGTAGCGGCCGGAGCGCCCCACGAAATGTGACGACAGATTGGCGGCGCAGAGGCAACTGCCAGACTCTTGCCCAGATCGCGACGCCTCCCGCTTCGTCGTCAGGCGTGTTGCGCTGTCCTCGGGGGAGAACCCGAGGCCCTGGCCCCTCCAGCATGGCATCCTTCATGCGCATCCTGGCGTTTCCGTCTTCCTCCGTCACATGATCCATCGTACAACGACAAACACCTCATGTCGACCACCTCTGCCACCTCATGTGCCACCTCGTGTGTCCGCCCCCCCGGGACTCTGCCCCCCAGGACTCTGCCCCCCAGGACTCTGCCCCCCGGGACTCTGCCCCCCGGGACTCTGCCCCCAGGAACTCAGCCCCCAGGAACTCAGCCCCCAGGAACTCAGCCCCCAGGAACTCAGAGCAGCTCATCGCTGCCGCTGGCGACGCTGGCCTCAATGGCTGTCAAGATGGTGCGCTCGGCAAACACGGGGCCTTGGCCGTCGCACTTGGCGTGGTTCTTCAGCCTCTCGCTGACGTCGCCGACGTCGACGAGCCCGCGCTTGAACAGCTCGTGGTTGATGATGAGGTCCCACGTCGCCCCGGCGGCGAGGAGCCTCTGTCCGTCCTCGGCAATCGCCACACGGTGGCTCGGCGTCTTGTTGTTGTGCTTGGCCAGCAGGTCAGAGTAAAAGTCGGTCGGGTTGTACTCGAGGGGCCCTGTCGTGCGGGGCTCGGGCGAGAGCGAGCCGTGGGGCAGCCCATTGTTCAGGCTCGAGGTGGCGCGCAGAATCTCGTTCTCCGTGGCAATCTTTTGCATCTCGCGCTTGAGGCGCTCGTTCTCCGATGTCGTCTGCTGGGCCTCGGCCTCGAGATTCGCCAGCTTGGCCTCGAGATCCTTGACGTGACGCTCCTTGCGTTCGCGGAAGGCTCGTTGACTGGGGCGGCTCGCTGTTAGCAGGTTCTGTTGGTATGACACGAACAAGGCATGGCACGAACAAGGCCTGGCACGAACAAGGCATGACACGACCAAGGAAAGCATGGACAGGGCAGGGCAGGGCAGAGCAGAGCAGGGCAGGACGTACGCGGCGCGGTTCTGGGCCTTTCTGCGCGACTGGGCCGGCGTCATGTCATCGTCGTCCGAGTTGGAGCCGCCGCGGCGGTTGTGGTCGTCGAGGGCCTCCTGCTTCTGCGCGGCGGCGGCGGCGGCAGCAGCAGCAGCGGCGGCGTCGGGGTGCGGCTGGATGGGCTGCGCGTGGACGCCATGGCCGGCGCCCGCCTGCGACGGCGGTTCCTGTCGATGCTGCTGCTGTCTCACGGTCGGGTTGTTCGGCGGCGTCGGAGGGCCCGGGAAGGGGACCTGGGCGGCGGGGTTGGCGGCCTGGGCCTGCTGGTGGAGGAACTGTGCCTGGTAGTGGTCGAAGCCGCCGAACTGTGGCTGCTGTTGCGGCTGTTGATGCTGGTGCTGGTGCTGGTGCTGCTGGTGCTGCTGGTGCTGCTGGTCGGGTGGGAACTCTGGGTAGGCATCCTGCTCGGTCATGATTGTGTAAGTGCATGGACGCAGGGCGCTAGAACAACTCCGCGCACCAGTCAAGAACAGGTGCCTGTCCCGACAGAGCAAAAACAGCAGCAGAGACATGACTGACAGGTGGGGATGTGGTGTTGAAATCGTCCGAAGCGGCCGAGTTGGAATGTGACGGTGTCAAGGGCGGGATGCCGATGAAGGGATAGGACTGCGCGTTGGCGTAATACTGGTGGGAGAAGTCCATGCTGGGCGACGCCGGGAGGGAGGGGGAGGGAGGGCTGAAGCGATTCGAGTCGATCGTGCGAGTCGTGGGCTCTGGTGACGTGTCCAAGCCAGGGCGGTGCAGTCGTGATCAGCAAAGTCGTCGTTGCCGTCGAGTGAGCGTCGTGGGCTGTGTATGCTGGCGTCTTTGGTGTTGGGACCGACGGTGCGTTTTGATCGAAAGAAAGGGCCCAAGTAAACGGGGAAGGGTTTACGCCATGGATGGCGAAGGGGAAGAAGGAGGGGGGGGAGACAAGAGAAGGGGGGGTGGGGGGAGGGACAGAGGGTTCAAAGGCACTGGTTGACGGCTTTGGCTGTGACTTGCGTCGAGTTCGAGGCGAGGCGAGCCGGAGAGGGGTCCCTTCCTTCAAGTGTGCTCGACGAGGGGGCCTTGGAGGACTCTTCCTTGGAGGACTATTCCTTGGAGGTACTCTTCCTTGGGGGTACCTTCCCTGGCCTCGCTACAGGATCAAAGAGATCAGGGCCAGGCAGGCTACCCGGACTGCTAGGTACCGACCTAGGGTACTCCATGTACCCAGGTAGGTAAGGTACCTAGGTAGGCAAGTAGACAGGCGAGGTAGGCAAGTAGGCAGGCAAGGCAGGCAAGGCAGGGTAGTAGTGCCCCGGGCCCAGCCAGCGTCAGTGCCGGAGCAAGGACCGCCCACCGAGTAAAGTTTGCGTGTCCACGCAAGGGCTGCTGCTGAGGAGGTGGCATTCGATGGATGGCCTGCCTTTGACGGCCTTGTCTGCATGCAGGCAGAGGCCGGCAAGCCCCCCATGCTTGCGCAACGGGTGGAGAGGTGCGCCAATGCGCCAGTGGACCGATGAGCTGGGATCAACAGACTGTGCCTGTGCCGGGCCTGGAAGCACGCCCTGTGCCGCCCGCCGCGTACGTGGTGCAAAACTCAACAGGGCCTGCAGAGTGCCGCACAGGAGGACCCTGGGGTTGGGGGGGGGGAGGCTCGGCATGGCGCCTGGGTAGAGAGGAGAGGCGCCTGGGGAGAGGAGAGCCCGATGTGGTGCACAATGGCGAGGCGGTACACTGGTGGGAGACAAGCTGGAGTGGGTACGAAAGCTGGACCTGAATGGCCACCTCGTACCAACTGCGATTGGCAGGTACCTTAAGGTAGAGAGAGGTAAGGTAGGCAAGGCACCCAGCAACTCACTCATCTCTCCTCCAGTCGACTTCGTACCGCCGGTGAACCCTCTGGCCAGTCGCCCCTCCTTCTGGCCCAGCCTTGCCGTCTGCTTCCTGGCAACCTGCCGTCGGCCAAACGCCATCTTGACACCCCCCCCCGATCGCTGCCATCTGGGCCGCCGTCGCATGCCTGCACCCGCGCCCCCTATACCTCTGACAGCACACCGCGGCCACTAGCGCCACCTCTGCACGATGAATCCCCCTCACAGCTCGACAGCTCGGGGGAGACACAGCATGCACGCAGCAGCAGGGTGACGAGCCGAGGCGGGGCGGCCGAAGAACAAGATGAAACGATGCGAGCGTAGATTGATTAGAATGAATACGTATGATGTATTCAGCAGAGGACAAGACAGAAGAGAGAAAGAAAAAAAACCAAACCCCCTTAGCAATGCGTAAATCATACCTCCCTGGTCGAAGCTTGGTCCTCTTCGTAAACTATCTCCATGCGCCGGGACTCCCGACATGTGTGTGTGTGCGTGTGTGTGTGCGTGTGCCTTGCGCGCATGCACCTGCGACGCAAAGAGAAACCCGCCATGTTCTCTCTCTCTCTCTCTCTCTCTCTCTCTCTTTTCCGGCAGAGGCCTCTTCTTTGGCCAGGGTGGTCTGTGAAGATGTGAGAGACGCCAACCAACCAAACCAACCAACCCCTCCTGTATTCCTCCGCTGGTCTCTCCTCTAACGTTGTGACCCCGGCCGCGGCCCACCCCTGCCCTCGCCATCGCAAGCCGGCCCCTAGTTCTGCTTCTCCGTCTTCTCGTCCACGCCCTCCACGTACGGGTGCTTGATGGTGAGGCACCAAATGTCGAGGTAGTCGCAAATGGTGACGATGACGTCGACGACAAAGCTGCCGTAGACGCCGACGGCCATGCCGAGCATGAGGAACATGTACGAGACCTGGTAGACGCCGTCGCCGAGGGCCGAGGGCCAGCCAAAGGGCAGGCCGAGGGCCAGCAGCTGCGGGCCCAGCGAGTCGATGACGCCAAAGGCCACGGGGATGACGAGCACGTTCCAGTAGGGGAACGGCAGCTTGACGAGGTGCGCCGTGATCATCTGGCCGACCGAGTAGGCGTTGACGATGCCGGCGAAGACGGTGAACGGCACGAGGTGGTTGTGCAGGATCATCGGGTGCAGGTAGAGGTACGAGCCGAGGAAGGCCCACGCCGCGAAGAAGGGCCCCAGCCCGAGGAGGGCGCCGCGCGAGCGGTCGCCGCGCGCGCGCCGCGCCTGGATGACGTTGCGCGTCGACTCGAGCGTGTTGAGCACGAGCACGACGCCGCCCTGGATGAGGTACCACTCGGTGAAGGACGCGTTGTAGATGAACTTGGGCACAAAAGGCAGCGCCGGCACGCCCAGCGTCGGCAGCATCGACTGCGACCAGAACGACGCGCCGCCCTTGTAGCCCGTGACGGTGTAGATGAAGACCATCATGAGCACGCCCTCGACGGGTCCGTTGACGACGCCGAGGGTGAGCTGCTTCGTGTGGTACTCGTCCCACGTCTGTACGTAGAAGGTGAGGAGCGCTGCGGCAGCATTCTGTTAGCGACAGGCACATGAAACAACAAAGCGTGCGCCGGGGCGAGCCGTGACGTACCGGCGGCGAGGACCGCGACAGTCCGCCAGCCCTGGCCGAGGTTCTGCGACCCAGCAAAGATGAGGGCGCCGAGCGACGTGTTGAGAGCATCGACGCCGTGGTCGAAGAGCTCGCCGAGAGGGCCGCTCTGCCTGGTGCGGCGCCTGGTAGTGCAACGTGTCAGTGGGTATTCCTTCGTCTCGCCCTCCCCCCCTGCAGGAGGTGGCCACCGCAGGAGGTTGGCCGGCCGGCTCAAACTTACGCCTGCGACCCGTCGACGGCGTCAAACGTCTGGTACAGGAACAGGCCCGCAGCCCATGAATAGTACACCCACGAAGGGCAGTCCTGGTCGAGCGTGGGGTTGTACCACAGCAGCGTCAAGATGTTGGCGATGATGAAGCTGAAGCCGGACAGCGTGATGAGGTTGGGTGCCATGCTCATGGGGAAGAGCTTGATGACGACGTTGGTGTAAAAGGGCTTGAGGATGTACTTGGACGTCAACGAGTGGTCGACCGACGCATACTTGTACTCCTTGAGGTTCGGCAGGAACTCCTGGCGAACGTAGACCATCTTGTCGGCTTGGCTGCCACGGGCAGACTGATTGATGCGGTTTGCGAGTTATCGAC